ACCTGCGGCACTGATCAGCTGTGCATCGGTGTGAAGGGGGGCCTCGAGGGGGCTGTGCACGCCGTGAATGACCTCTTCCAAGAGGACGAGACCGAGGGGCTCCTGCTGGTGGACGCGAGCAACGTCTTCAATCGCATCAGTCGGCCTGCTGCCATCTGGAACACCCGCGTGCTGTGGCCCCGCTGCTCTCACTAAATGTGTTCAACACCTACCGAGGGTTTGCTGCACTCCATCTGCAAGGCTCAGCCGGCTGTCTGTGGAGCTGTGAAGGCGTCACATAGGGCGATTCGATGGCGATGTTCGTCTACGCCTGCGGCAGCCTTCCCCTCATCCATGCCCTGCGGGCTGCCTGCGCTGAGGAGGGATATGAGATGCCGTCGAGTGGGGCATCGGATGAGTCAGGCAGCGATGGGTTTGGGTCAGACACGGACGAGAACAAAAATGCGCCATCAGAAGCCAGAAAAAGCCAGTGACACACCACCAGAAGCAGAGGGGGATGGTGCGGGTGAATGTGTGTGTTCTGATGTAGAAGGTGTTGGAGTTGGTGAGGAGGACAGAGAGAGTTTGTCGGCCTCGTCGGCCTCTTCATCTGGCGCTTCGCTGCGGCAGTGCTGGTATGCAGATGGCTCATCGGCGCTCGGCAAACTTCACGGCATACTCGTGTGGTTTCGAGCGCTGCGTCGCATTGGTCCCTCATACGGCTATCACCCGGAGGCCGCCAAGTCCTTCCTCGTCGTCAAACCCGAGCTCGAGCAGATCGCAAGGGAGCTCTTCGAGCCCGAGGGGGTGCAGATCGTCACGGGCAAGAGGTTTCTGGGCGGCTACCTGGGCGATGAGGGGAGGAGGGCGGTGTTCCTCGGCGAGAAGGTCGAGGGGTGGGTACACGGCGTGCGCGCGCACGCGTCTGCTGCCTGCAACTTCCCGCACACGGCCCACGCGGCAATGACGAGGTCTCTGCAGATGGAGTGGGACTACGTCTTTCGTGTCGTGCTCACCGACGAGTGCGCTCTCAGCCCCCTCCGCGAGGCCATCGCCAAGGAGCTGCTGCCGGCCCTCCTCGGCGGCCCTGTAACGCCGTCCGAGGTCGACCTGATGCTGCTGCCTGCCCGCTTTGGCGGTACCGGCATACGTGACCCTCTCGACCGTACTGCAGCCGCCTATCCCGCTTCCCGCGCGAGCACCAAGGTGGTCTCCAAGTCCGTCCAAGGCAAGGCTCCTATCCACCCTGGCGATCATCGTGCCACCATCCGCCACGCCCTCACCAAGAGCAAGCAGCAGCAGGACGTCGTCCACAAAATTAAGAGGGAGGCCGCCCTGCCACACATCGACCGCCGGCGCCATCACGTCCTCTCCCGCAGCGCCGAATACAAGACGTCCGGCTGTATGACCACCCTCCCATCGACAGACAACAACACTGGTCTTGATGCTGCGGAGTTTCGAAATGCCCTCAACATGCGATACGGCCGTCACCCCCCTGGCCTCGCTGCACGCTGCGACCACTGCAACCAGCCCCTCACCGTCGACCATGCGCTGTGCTGCAAGCGGTACGGCCTGGTGATTCGTCGCCACAACGAGCTGCGGGACACTTTTGCCGAGCTGATTGGGATGGCATGGGGGGACGCTGGTGTGCGTCGGGAGGTGGTGTTGAAGGAGGGAGAGGAGGGGAAGGGCGGGGTCAGGGCGAACATCGTCGCTCGGGGCGTGTGGGATCGGCAGGCGGCTGCGTTGTTCGACATCTGCATCACTGATGTTGACGCACCGTCTTATGCTTCCAAAAACCGATCGACCAACTCCATCCTGAAGCAGCACGAGACCGCCAAGAAGAAGAAATACCACTCGGCCGTCTGCGACTCCCGCGTGACCTTCTGCCCTCTGGTGGTGACGTGTGACGGTGTGTGGGGACACGATGCCAACGTGTTCATCGCGCACATGGCTCATGCGCTGTTGGAGAAGGAGGGGTGGAAGGGTCGGGGGATTCAGTCATGTGTCTGGATGGATTCGCTCCCGCTTGTCTATCGCCCTCGCACGTGCTACTAGCTACTGTCTGCGTGGGGGAGGGAGAGGAGGGTTTGCGGGACTGGGGTGTGCTGATGGGGTGGGTATCAATCCCTCCTCCCCGTAAGCGTTTGACTCTGCGTGCTCATGGGACTGTATGAGTATCACGGACACAAAAAAAATATCTCGTCGGTGTGTCATCTTGTAGGTAGGTCACCTTAGCTACGTTTGGGCACATGTTGTTGCCGATCGCCTGCTCCCGCCGCTGCTTGAGCGCCAGCACAGCACCAGCCTGCACTCAAAGAAGCCAGAAAAGACCCCAAGCCACGGATGCAACGACGGTCATCTACCCATACCTGCCGGCGCAGTGCCTTGATTTCCTGCAACACATGCTCGTACTTATCCTCAACGCCACGCAGCGCCGCATCGACGGACTCCGACTGAACGATGGATGGATGGATCGACACATGCATTGAATGGACAGGTTTGGCTCGTCGAGGCAGTGCTGCCCTCACCTCTGTGGACATGAGCCACCAGGTGGGAAAGGCAATATTGTCGATCAGACCATTGGATGCTACAGTCGTCAGATCACGCCGTGTGAGAGATGGATGCCTCGAAAACAGCGGAATTTCAAAATCATTGCGAGCTCAAAGGTGTGCAAAAGGGGCGAGAGCATCTGCAGATCTTCGCCTCAGATCCCTCAATATGGTACTGTACAGGACACATGAGCTGAAAAGGCTTGCTTCGGTGCACTGACATGTCGCGTCCCGGTGGTGTCTGGTCTGTCTGTGTGTGTGTAGACTGATCAGCAGGTGCAGGAGGTGACGAATGGCATGTTCAATCTCGCACTCGGTACGCCTCAGGATGGATGTGGTGTGGCGGGTCACCAGGCCGCCAGGAAGATAGACGCCTTCGTCTCTCTCTGTGTGTGGTTCTGTTTGTCACAGACTCTCACCGGCCCCCGGGATCTGCACGTCAGCACACACAAGAGAGTGCAGAAGCAGCACGACGAGATCGAGAAGCAGTACCGCGAGGAGTGGAACGAGCTCAAGACCAAGTACCAGAAGCTCAAGGACCCCATCTACAGGAAGGTAGGCATATCCAACATTTACACTCGGACATTCGCACGTGACTTACGTGTGAATGTCTTTGTGTGAATGTCGGTGCGTGCGTGCGTTGCAGCACTACTCGGTGCTGACTAAGAAGGACGAGAGCACAGTGCCCAGCGACGGTACGACTCAGGCGAGTCAGGACGACTCGCAGGCACCCGATAGCGACAAGACACAAGACAAGGAGGAGATCGATGTGCACATCGGCACCGCGGTAACAGACAGACAGACAGACGCATGCACACACATATACGAGTTGGGAACAGACGGTGTGCTATGTGTGTGCTGCCGTGTGTGTGTGTGCAGGGTCTGCCCAAGTCTTGGTTGACGGCTCTGAAGAACCACACAAACGGGCTGGCATGATCGAAAGACACGATGAGCCTGTACTGGTAAGTCGAGGTCGGGAGGGGGGAGAGAGGGATACACCCACGCAAACCAAACCCCCACTGTGTCGTGCGTCGTGTATATAGGCGTATCTTGAGGACATTCAGTCAGAGTGGTTCGACGACAAGAAACAAAGCGTACGTGGGAATGAGCGCCAGCACACCACTCTGCCTTAAGTTGTGTATATATATATGTGTGTGTGTGTGTGTGCAGAGTTTCCGTTTGATTTTCAAGTTCAGCGAGAACCCCTACTTTGAGCCGTCGACGATCGTCAAGAGCTACATCCTCGAGCAGCCTGACGACGGCAAAGACGAAGTCCTCTCGTCAACCGACTGGCAGGCCCTCAGGAAGGGGGGGCTGTCTGAGGGAGCATGTGCGTACTGACTGTATATGTGTTGTGTATATCGTGGTCAGCACTGAGTTGGTGTAGAAGCCCGGCAAAGACGTCACCAAGAAGACCGTCACGCGCAAACAAAAGAACAAAGGTAACAACAAGACGCCAGACATGACACACAGGCACCAACACATACATGCATGTGTGTGTCCATCTTCGCATGCCTCACACATCAGGTACCAAGGCGACCCGCAAAATCACCGAGCAGGTCGACGTCCCCTCCTTCTTCAACTTCTTTAAGAAACACGGTCAGATAACTGTCGGATGAAGCCATCTCGCCTCCCTCACGGCAAGCATGCGTGATGTGCTAAAGAGGGACATGCACATGGGTTAGCGATAAACACATGGATGAAGGGCAAGAAAAATCATGAAAAGGAACATCACATATTCGAAAACACCGCGACATGCACATACATGCATACCATACAGCAAAAATGCTATAGCCCACCCCAGCAAGCGATGTACTCTACACATGCACATGCAGACGGATAAAGAGTCCACACATACAAATAGCCCAACCATGAGAGGGAGCAGCCCGTCAGTCGGCTTCACAATACTGGGACGTGCGTGGGCGTGCCGTGCTTCCCTTCCTGCGCCGCCCGACACCCTCAATCACCGCATGATATACATACATGACGCCCAGCAGCGCAAAGGCAACAGCAGTAGCCCATCCACTCACATCGTGGCTGCTCTTGGTCAGCAACAGCGCCTTGAGGCACACGCTCTCGGACAGCCAGCAGAACAGCGCGTATGCTCCGCAGATCCATCTCTTGGCGCCACAGGACACGAGGGTGTCGCTGTGGGTCGCGAACGTGAAGGTGAGGACGGCCTGGGCCATAGACATGGCACCGTACAGCTGTGACAGGTCAGTAATCAGTTGCATCTGCGGCGCATCAGACTGGGCCTTGCCGAAGAGGGTCACAAAGACGGTCGGCCTGAGGAAGGCAAAGCTGCCGACGGCCGCTGCGATGACGGAGTGCTGCAGCACAGACAGCACAACCATTCATATGTGCATGTGCATGGAGATCCTTTGCTTCGTTTGTGCGTTCACGAATACATAGAGAAGACAGACAGACGGTCTATCTCATACCACATTATCTCATGCCGACCGTCAAGAACGTGTATTTCACTTCTGTCGCGAAGGCAATCATGGTCTTGAAATGGGGCAACGCTCGCAATCCCAAGATCTCCGTGGAGACCGACAAAGGACTTGGCGTCAGGCCGCCTAGGGTGCTCCATGAAACCGCTGCTGCAAGATTTGGGAAGGAGCTTGATGGAGCTCCAGTGGTTGTGACTGTGCGGTATTCGTATGGACTCTGCAGTTCACGACGCACACACCATGACGACGGCGCCCTGCAGGTACGTAAGAAAGGACGGATGGGCTCCCATCTTTTGACTGGCACACCCCTACAGAACCCTAAACCCTGCCTACAGAACGCGTGTCAGCTCGCGTGTGTCGCCTTCATCCGGCCCGCCCACGCACCTCCAGCACACGCAGTGGCCAGCCGACTTGACACGCCCTCGCATGCCCTGAGAGCTCGGCCACCACAGGCACCCGAGCAGCCGTGGACAGCCCTGAGTGAGGGTCCGCCGATCGAGGGTCCGCAATATGGCGGGTTCGCTTCCGAATGGCCCAGGGAGGGAATTCGTTTGATGCTCGGCGGGATCTTTCAGCTCATTGTTGTCAGGATTGCCAGCTTGGCAAGACGAACCACTGCGAGCTTGTGAGCTAGGGTAGATTGCTGTGTAACGGAGAGAGAGAGAGGAGAAGACAAGGAAAGACAAGGAAAGCATTCTGAGGAGACACGATCTTATCAGCCATCACCGAAGTGAGATCTGCGTTGACCACCCTTCATGATGCCATACATGGACAGAAACAACTTTGACTGACTGACCAGTCCATCGGTCTTATTAAGGTAAAAGGCACTCTTACTCTGGGACTTACCGCCCAGCAGATCCTCTATTCAGCTAACTACAG